GATCGAGATGTCCTCTCCACCTCATTCTTTGGGCCTCAACCTATTCTAAAAAGGCTCTTGAGAGTTGGTCATGGTGTCAGCTGTGACACACGTGGTGGCGCATGAGTCACGTGGTATGTTGTGACTGTGATATCTATTATACATGCAAGTGGGTCAGATGGGCCAGATATTCCAGGATCGAGATGTCCTCAAATTGTCAAGTGATCATCAGAGTCAAAATCTGTTTCTCTTGGACTGTGCAGGTTTGAAACCTGTCAATGATAAATTTGATTTTTTTTTATAAAACTACACCTTTACATATGCTCATGGTCAGTTTGCTTATAAGCTTCTCAGAGTTGTGTTCAGCTAAGTGGTTGTCCTAACAGAATCAAGATCTGTTTCTATTGAAGTGAAACAGGTTTGAAACCTGTTGAATGTTGCATTTTTTCCATAAGAACATGTCTTGAATATCTGATAATTTGGTCAACCCTCTTGAGAGACACAAAATCTTTTATAACCAATCTAATAATCCACAACTCCCTGTCTCAATTCAGCTTGCAATTTTCCTCAATGGCATCAGGTACTATAACAATGCTGCAACAATGGAGGACTTGGAAGATTTGGCAGGAGTATCTATTGGAACAGTCCACAATTGCATTAAACAAGTTGTGATCACTATCTTGAAGCATCATCATGACATAATTCACTTTGATCTTACTTGATCAGGAGGATCTTGAGGAATGAAAAAGATCACTCATTGATGGTGTACTTATACTTTTTAAGGTTGTTGTTTTACCTTACAATCTCTATATTGTCGGTTATGTGATTGGTGTACCCAGAAGCCTTCATGATTCAAACATTTTTGGTCATACAATGGTTGCACAGTATCCAGACAAGTGTTTTGGTGCAGGTTAGTGGTTATAGACAGACTCTGCATATGCAGCACAAACATGGTGTGTCCCACCATTTAAACAGCCACCAGGAGGGGAGGAGGTTGACCAGAGACCATATACACTGATAGTGTGATGTAGGAAGCTTATATTTAAAAACATGAACTGCAGGCGCTGTAGAAACAACAAAACAGTGAGGCACGAATGAGGCTCCAGACTGTATCTATAAATGTTGTAAGGTTGCGCATTGCCTAGTCTGCTATACTTGAGATGACAAGTGCATTTGACCCTAAAGGGAAAGCGAGTGCAGCAAGGATCTAGAGGTATGTGCTGAAAGTGCTACTGGTGGGCTAATGTGAAGTGCAAGAAAGCGCAGGTGCGCGCAAGGCGCAGGAACGCACGTGCGTATTGCGCGAAGTGCGGGAAAGTGTGTGCATGTATGCAGAAATGAGAGAGAGTAAGAGTGAGTTTGCTTAAGTGATGATAAGACACAAGGAATGAGAGATATGAGGTGTAAATGAATAGATTACAACTGTGCTCTGCTAGGTAGAAAGTAGGTAGCCAAAAACCAGTTGGAAAGTAAGTATCTAATAGTATGTACTGCTGGTGCTTATATATGACACCTAAGCACTGTCATGTGAAGCCAAAGCGCTACCAGGTAAGGTATGTGAGAAAGTGTGCGCACATATACATTGCGAAGCGTGGGAAGTGTGCATGCATGGCACGCTGTAGGTACAACAATTCAGATGGTGAGTCTGAACAATGTTGGGTCTTGCAGAACCTAGCTGCTATTCGACCCTAAAGGGTTTCTGGACCAGGCTCAAGGCTCAGAGGACAGGAAATATCATGAAAACTTGCTGAGTACTCTGACTCATACTGGTAAATGGTGAAAAGATAACTTTCTTATGTAAGCTACAAAAGTGCCAACATAAGGTAAGGTAAAAACAGTCTCTACAAGCCCAGCCAGAAATGAATCCCTACAGCGCATTGCATGGGAAAGCTGTGCCTCATATAGGAATAACTGTGGATAGCACACAGAGTGATGCTGCAAGTTCATGCAATGAACTCCCTAGTGAAAACTGCGATATCATGCAATGAGAGGCACAAGTCACTAGAGCCAAAGTGCTTGCAAAGAGAGTAGGTAAAATATGTAATAAGGGTTCATGACACACAAATGATCAAATCATTAAAGTCTGAAGCATAATATGGTCTGACATGAAAATAAAGTGACGGAAACATACCAGTGAGGTTGGATTGGACAATGGAATCATATGCGACATAGGGGACTTTGGGAGTAGGAAACTATACAGATGTCCAGTCTAACTTTTCTTCTTGGTTCTTCTGTCAACTTCTTGATTATTTTATTCCAATAGCTACTATCTATGGCTCATAATGACAAACCATATAGTTGTAGTGCACTGTAGAAAAATATGTGACGTTCAACAGGTTTTAAACCTGTTGCACTCCAACAGAAACAGATGTCTATTCTGTCAGGACGACTACATGGCTAAACACAACTCTGATGAGCTTGTAAGCAAACCGATGTAGGACTGGAAGTCCTTACAGCCTCATAGAGAGCCCCTTCAGTGACCTAACCCTGTAAACATGGTCAGCCCACCTTGACATTTCTTCTGAGTGATGTGGGCCAGCCCGCCATGGGCCCACCTTATCATGGTATGTCATTGTGTTCAAGTGGGCCTGTGTGTGCCATGTAACCCATGATTATGAGTAGGCCTACTGCACATATTCATTGAAATGTTGCAGTGGGCCCACATGAGTCTATATGGGCATACATTGCATTAGAGGTGGGCCCATAGTACACTGGAAAGGTATTTCCCCTAGAGTTTCGAGTGGGCCCATATATGTCTACAGGATCACCAGCGCAATATGGGGCGGCGAGCAACACAAGTTGTGCCGGCGAAGACAAATAAGATGTGCAACCGGCAGGATCATGCATGTCATCGCCGGCAGGCGAGAATGACATGTCAAATCTGGCGCAATTATTATCATCGCAACTGGCGATGAATTACACTGGCGCCCAATATTATAAATTCATTCAAAACGGCAGGTGGGAATTACTGCTAAAATTAGATTGAGCACAACCGCCGGCGATTGGGCATTTTGCAACCAGGCGAACAGTGGTGCGAATCACGACTAGATCACAATTAACAATCGGCAAGTTATTAAAAATGTCACCGTGCATCAGTGATGTTGTCTGGCGGGTGCTCCTGATGCGCAGTCCTTTCATATGAGTGGGCCCACATGAATTCTATCGATCGGTTGGGCCCACGATGTGTCGCATCGCAATGGCCGAGCCCGAAGGATGTATGTCCATGTAGTGTGGGCCTGCCATCAGCCGATGAGTGGGTTGGGCCCATTTCTCTTCCAAGCCATGGAAGGGTGGGCCCGTGCCAGTTCCCTGGTTTGTAGGGCTGGCCGAGCCAATTTCAATATGCCCACGGGTGGGCCTGCCTGTGATGTGACAGATGGGCTGAGCTCAACGGCAATCAACTGGACAGGCAAGCGGGCCCGGGAACTGCACAGATGATATGGGTGGGCCTGGCCAATACATCATGTTGCTAAGACATGGGCCTGCTGGTGATCTGATACATGAGCTGGGCCTGATCTCAGTCATGGGAAAGGTGGACGGGCCTGGTGGATCGCTCGGACACTAGTGGTTGGCCTGGCAGATGTGCACTCGCTAGCGAGTGGGCCCACTCCATCCCTTCATATGCATGGGCTCATACAGATGCAACCCTGCATACAGGTGGGCCCCGATGATGTATTCTGGTGTCAGGAGTGGGCTGATGGATGCCAGATCAATAGAGTTGGCCTATGCGAGGTACACAGCAGACGCGGGTGGGCCCATGTTACACCATATCCCGAAATTCAGGACATGCTGCTGTCGGCTAGTCTCGCCGGCAAGACATGTACGGCGACTCACAATGCCGATGAATCATGGCAGCCAAGCATAATGGAACAGGCGAGACATAAACACACTGCTGTCGGCTGGTCTTGCCGGCAGGACATGTATGGCGACTCAAAATGCCAATGAAACACGGCAGCCAAGCATAATGGAACAGGCGAGACATAAACATACTGCTGTCGGCTGATCTCGGCCGGTAGCACATGCACAGCTACTCACAATGCCGATGAAACATGGTGGCCAAGCATAATTGAACAGGCAAGAAATGAACATGCTGCTGTCAGCTAATCTCGCCGGCAGGACATGACCGGCCACTCACAATGCCAGTGAATCAAGCATGGCGATGTGGGCAGATATCCATATTCACAGTCAGATTTACAATTGTTGGGAAACAAAAATGTTATGTACACTAAACTACAGTGGATATATATTGTACATTGCATGACATGGGAAAATTATTTACGCCGGCACAACATGTATTGTGCAATTACATTGCCGGTGTAGATGAAGAATCTTGACTATACGTGAAAACACTTAAAACTAAAGGGTGCTCAACAGCAAGACCGGGATACGAGACAACAACTCGACCCAAAGGACAACCACTGAGAGAAGTTCCTCGAAATAAAAGTGGAGGGAAACTCTATGAGCTAGGCAGGCGCTAACAGGCGCGAGAAGATAACGCGCGCGAAGGCGCGCCTTGAGCGTTAAAGGAAAAGTCCTATTGAGGAGTGAATGCACAGATGGATGATTGACAGGAGGATAAGATCTGATATCAAGTGAGGAGGTGATCTATTCACTTTCCAGTACACAAAGATAAGGGGAAAGTAAGTACCAGAACCAAAGGAAACCCTTCTGTATTTAAGAATGGAGATTGCGCTAAGCGGCGCGCTCCCGAACCGAGTAACCATATCAACTCTAATTATAACTAAGTTTAAATAGACTTTCTATATGTAGCGCGGACGTCGGACCGAAGATTTTATTAGTTCAATGGACAAGATAGGAATAACGCACCAGCGAATCAGTAAGGACATGGGACGAATGGACAGACAATAGCGCGAAGACCTAGGAGAAGGCGCGCCTAAGTGCGCGCGAGTACGGATAAGGCGCGCGCGAGTGCGCGCAAGACTGGTCCTTAGGATTAGAGCTGTAGCATATAGGAATGTATGGGTAAAGGCCGGATATTCGGCATTGAGACGCACGAGTCTCTACACCGGCTCACCAGAAACATTAGAGTCCTCCACCTCAGGAGTCTTTATGGTGACTGGCAAGCAAGCCGAATCCTCCATCTCTTGGGCTGGACCAGCAGCCAAGTCAGGACACTCATCAGCAGCGATATCTGTGGGGGTCACCGAGGAAGGCGGATCGACAAGGCAGTGAATGTCGGTGATCTTGCCGGCGAGCAGATCGGTGCGGTTATCTTGCGCATCCAAGCACATGTATGCAGCTTGTAGCAGCTGGTCGCCTGCCACCACTTGACCCATCAGAGCCTCGACGGTTGCATGAAGCACAGTGACTTCCATCTTCAGCACTTGCAGTTCCTGGTCATGGGCGACACAGGATGGCGCCAAGATGGATGATGGGCCAGCAGCCACGGGATCGTCCAGCGTTTGGGACGACTCAGGATTGGCAACCGCCAGTGTTGCAGGAGGCGCCAGCTCTTCCTCAACTAATGGGCCGGCATCTGGAGCTGGATCTTCTAGACTGGAAGTTAGCATGTCTTCAGCGCTGTAGAAATGATCTCACCTTGAATCGGTGAAGGGCGGTGCTGGGACTGGGAATGTGCTCGGCAGCCAGCTGAGGACTTGCCTTTGGCTGGGGGAGGATTGGAGCCTTTCTGTTACGAACTAGGATAGTTCTAACAACACCAACTCGACAGAGTTTTAAGCTGTTGAGTTTTGTGAAGTCCTTCAGAAAAGAAGGGGTTCTGTAAAGACTTAGTCAAAGGAGTGCTTCGACTAAGAATGCTAGTTCAGACGACTTAAGATTGGAGGTCTTAAGCGAAGGAAGTTCTGGTAAAACCTAGTAAGATTCAAGTGAAGTTCTACAAAGCTAATACACGTGCTTAAATAAGTCAATATATGCGCACAGACCAAGGTAGTTGTGAGATATAAGTACATAGTCCAAGAAAGGTAAGTGATCATAAATGGAAAGCGTACTATTGAACAAAGAGAACAGAGAAGCGAAAGAAAAGCGTGATTGTAACATTACCCCCCTACTAGGCATAAAGTCACTGACTTTAATCATCTAAGTTAGCATAGTAAATGGGGTCATCGGAATAATCCAAGTCGTCAGAACCTCCCTTCAATCGCTCTGTACAATAGAAGGCCTCTTCTTCCTGACACTGCGCAATGTATTGCTCATCTCTGGTGTTCTCCCAGAGGGCTAATGCGGTATAAAATCCTTCGTCCTTCCAAGTTAGAGTGGTAGGCGTGCTGCCCATATATCTAGGACAATAGAACGAAAGATGTCCAGGACTTAACTCTCTGCATACTCTGCAGTAGTAGTCTGGGCAATGTACTTGACGATGCCCGAGAGTTTTGCAGTATCGGCAAACCCTATTTTCATCTGGGTTAGATGAAGTGGAGCGTAGCGGAGAGGGACCAGGTCATGGGCTTAATGCTTCGTCCGCACTAGTAGCCCGCTTCTTTCCTTTTCCTTTGTAGGACTGCCCATGTGTCCTCTTTCGAAGAGTGGTAGATGGTTTTCGTTCGACAGGGTGCCTACAGGCGACATCTTGTCGTTCCGCCTCCGCGATTAGCTCAGCAGGAGTAGAAGGAGTAGTTGCTCCTAGCGTCTTGACAGGGAAAATCCCATCCTTGAACATATGTGTGGATAACGATTTAGGAATGGTCATTGGAGGATGAATATGAAGTGCTTCGAGCGCGGTTGAAAGATCTTTGATTTCGTAGTAGGAGAGATATTGCTCGTTAGGGTTCACTTCTATTTCTTCCTGAGTAGCGGAGAATGCTTTATAAAGATTTTCTGGATGATTTTGTGTTTCGACGGAGGCGTTAGATGGGGGAGTATTTTCAATAGGGGCATCTACAGGTGGCGTGATTTGTCATTCTATGGGAGGGGATTTATTTTTGTTAAGACCATGCACAAAGGGTAGGACTGATTCTGAGGGGCTTGGCTTCAGCTCATGCGCTGCACCCCTTACCCGAGTATGTGCCCTTAATTTCAGATTGGTGTCCGAGGAAAGTCTGAAGACGTCCGAAGACATCCGAAGGCGCGGGAAACTTCGGAAGGACTTTCCGGATGGGTGCAAGTAACTTCCGGACGAGTGCGGGAAAGTTCCGTAAATTACGATGAGGTTTCGTCCTGATACAGATATGTATAATGGCTACTCGGGACTTGTCCTGAGTAGAAGTAAACAGAGGAAAGGCTGCAAGGACAAAGTCCGAAGCAGAATAGGTCCGGAGGACCGCGGGAAAGATCCGGATGAACTTCCGGAAACTACGGAGGATCAGATGAGCGGATGAGTGGAGTATTGGATAAGCAAAGCTCTGGCCTAGGGAGAAACTCCCTAGGCCTGAGATGGATAACAACTAAGTTGGAAGACTAGAACTGATATGAGGACTTAGAGTGAAGACTAGTGCGAGGACTAATATGATATTCAGACTGAGGTACTACAAGACATATACACGAGTTTATATACTAAGAGAAATAACGGAAGGATCAATAAGCAGAGTCTGAGGCTATGTATGAAGCATATGCAAAGGTTAACAAATGCGAGTCGGGAATGAACATAGGTTAATGGATCAGTAAGCATACCGGTAATAGATATAACCGAGGTACCGGGAACAAGGAATACCGGATAGGCTGTGTTAACGTTATATGCACAGGAAATGAATCAAGAAGCTTATCGTATATCAGATAGGAAATGTATCTATACGTCAGATAGGATCAGATCGGACCAGATCGGATGTGGTCCGGATGAGATGCGTGGATATGCAAGATATAATATTAGGGCAATGGGACAAGGGTGAACGATGCAGGCTAGCTGCGAAGGTAAAGGGATCTGGATGTGGATGTGCGGAGGTGCAGGGATCCGGATGGATAGAGGACTGCAGACATGGATAGGATATCCGAAGGTCCGGATGAGGTGTGGGAATATTATCGGATGTAGGTCCGGAATACGGGATATGACAATTTTCTACATTGAGAGCGGCGATCATGGCTTCTGTGGTTTGCGTGAGACTATTGACAGCAGCCAACAGCTCGTTAGGAATATGAGGAGGAGGTACAGGTACTGCATCGTGGTAAGATGGGGGTGGGTTGTCAGTTGTTCTATTGACAGGGGATGGAGAAGGCGGACGAGCAACGCCTGCTGATCGTTCTGCAATGATATGGATGACAGTTCTAATATCATCTTTAACCTCATCAGGAATAAGACGCAGAGTAAAGTTGCGTATACACCTTTGAAGGTGCATAATGCCATGTCGGACTGATTCGTCCTCGATGAGGCGAGTAAGTCTTTCGATAAGGTCTGTGGCTCTGATGATGTTGACGAGGAGATTAATGGAATATGCATTTCTCTCAAAGAGGATTCTGTTGAGTTCGATGGTGTGTTGGGGACAGAGCATAGCTGCCTTGATGAGGGTGAGATCTTCAGCATTGGTGATAAAGGCTTCATATCGGTCTTCATCATTTGCAAACATAGTGATTGAGAAGGTGGATTCGTAGGGGAGTGTGAAAGAGGTTGGGAAAGACATTCTTGCTGGAGGTTTTGGGTTTGGGTAAAGAGTATATCGTCGATGTAGTTTTTGATTTCAAAGCAAGTTTCTGGCTTTATAGGTGTCGAGGGTCTCCGTGGCATTTCCCAGATTCTCTTCAGGAATCCACTCGTTACTGGTGGAAGAATATCCTTTCCAAGATACCAGGTAACGGCGTCTTTTTCCATTTCCTTTATGCACAAGGATGGCTTCGATTTCGTATTCCTCTTCTTCTTCTAGAATATCAGGTGGTGGTTCTAAGAAGTTCGGACCGTGTTCGTTATTTTCACTATAGGACGATAACTGAGAAGTGTGGAACGTGGGGTGGATCTTCCATTGCGGTGGTAATTGGAGTGTGAAAGTGATCGGAGATAGTACTGTGGAGATGACGAATGGTCCGTATCGTTTCGGAGTGAGTTTCCGAGATGGAAGTTTTAACCTAAGGTTGGTAGAAGATAGCCATACCTTATCTCCAACTTTCCATGGTTGATACTTCTGCCCGAAGGATCTTTCTGTCATTCGTTGCATAGCAATGTTATGACAGGCCACTGCTTCTTCCCTTATCTTTTGGAGAAGTCTTACTCGTTCTTCTGCTGCAGGTATCTTTGATTCAGGGAGAATGTGCGGAAGAGCTTTTGGTTCATATCCCATCATGATGAAAAAGGGGGAAGCGTCTTTTGTAGCATGTTTCCGATGATTGTGGATGAATTCAGCGATAGGGAGATGTTCTACCCATTCGGACGGGTTGTTCTGGCAATATATTCGTAGATAGGTTTCCAGTTCCTGATTTAGCTGTTCTGTTTGTCCGTCGGTCTGTGGATGATACGCAGTGGAAGGGGCGATGGTGTAATCAAGGAGTCGTGCCAATTCTAGCAAGAATTTGGAGAGGAATTGGGGTCCTCTGTCTGATATTACTTTGTCATGGAGACCAAAGTGTTTGAAAACGTGTTTTAGGAAAAGTTTCGCTACTCCTTCGGAAGATATGGTTTTGTGACAAGGGGTAATGATAACCCCCTTACTAAGCCCATGGTCTACCACGACCATGATACTGTCAAATCCCGAGGATACAGGGAGGTCAGTGATGAGATCGACAGAGACCTGTGCAAACGGACGGGTGGCAGTGGCTGCGATAGGAGTTAGGGGAGGGGTGGTAGGGTGGGTATCGACCTTCATTTGCTGGCAAGTCGCGCATACATCAACATATTTCCTAATAAATGTTCCCATGCCGGGCCACCATGCCTCTCATTTGACCAATTCTTCCATTTTAAAATGGCCAGGATGCCCCACGGTAGGATGATCATGGTGCTTCTCTAGGATTCGATGCCGATGATCGGGCGCAATATACGCGCGATTTCTGTAGAAAAGGATATCATCAGAAATCGACCAATCCAAGAGAGAGGATTTCATTGGGGGCAAGCAGAGACCATTCAAGGCATCTTGTGCAGTAATAAAAATAGGATCACGAGTTTTTGAAGATAAAGCAGCTCGAAGATCATCATCGATGAGTCGGATAAACATGGAATCCAGTAGTAATACTGCTTCCTGGTTATCAGCAGATCTGTCATCATGGTCCGGTCATCGTGATAATGCGTCTGGAATGACTAACTTTGATCCAGGAACATGATGTAATTCCAGATCGAAAGTAGTCAAGAATAGCTGTCAATGTGCTTGCCTTCTAGAGAGTCGTTCTGATTTTCGGAAATATAAGAGATTCATGTGATCGGTGAATACAAGGATGGGGAATGGATGTCCTTCTAGATAGTGTCTCCAATGAGAAAGGGCTCGTATTATGGCCAGTAATTCCCTGTCATGGATCGGGTAGTTTCATTCAGCTGGTCCAAACGACTGAGAAAGGTAAGCACATGGATGATAGTTACCATTCTCGTCTGTTTGAAGCAGCACTCCTCCAGAGGCAACAAGAGAGGCATCCATTGCAATAGTGAAGTGTCGAGAAGGATCAGGATTACGGAGCACCGGGTGACTGGTGAAGCATGCCTTGAGTTTTTCAAACATCTGTTGACACAACTGGGTCCAGATGAATATAGTGTCCTTCTTGGTCAAATCGATGAGAGGTTGGGCTATATCTGAGTAATGAGAAATGAAGGTTCGATAGAAGTTACAAAATCCTAGAAAGGAGCGGACTTCTTTTACTGATTGAGGAACAGGCCAGTCTTGTATTCTGTTTGTTTTGTCTTTGTCCATTTCTATGTGCCCCGGTTTAATGATCATGCCCAAATATTCCACTTCTTGAGAGTCGAAGGCACATTTCTCTGGTTTCAAGAACAACTGTTCTTGACGGATCTTTCCTAAAATAATACGAGTTCGTGTTTGATGTTCTTCGATCATGGTGGAAAAGATTAGGATATCGTCCATATAGATAACCAGCCATCCTTCGTTAAGTTCCACTCAGAAGGTGCTATCCATATAGGCTTGGAATGTGGCAGGAGAATTGCATAATCCGAAGAACATAACCGTTGGTTCGAACAATCCTTCTTCAATGATAAATGCCGCTTTCCACCTGTCTTCGGCATGGATACAAATATTGTTATATCCAGATCTGATATCCATTTTAGTGAAGAATTTAGCACCATGTAATCGTTCGACCAAAGATGAAGGAAGTGGAAGGGGATACGCGTTCTTTATCGTCTGGTCGTTAAGGAAGCAATAGTCCTGACATGGGTGAAGTTCTCCGCTCTTTTTTCCTATGAAGAAGAATCCGCTTGCCTGCAGGGATTTTGATTTGACGATAAATCCTTTGGCTAGGTTATCAGCGATAAATTTTTTAACCGCGATTCGCTCATTGTGGGAAAGAGGATAAATTTTGGACATTTTTGGAATGAAACTAGGCTTTGTTTCTATCCAATGATCGATACCGGGTCTTTCCGGGGGAAGTTGATTTAGACCGTCTTTTGCAAATATATCTGAGAAGTCGTGGAGGTAGGAAGGGACTAGTTCTTCGAAGGTTTTCTTTTGTTTGATTTTTTCTTTGGATGCAAATTCTTGAGCTTTATTACTGTACTTTGGCATCTTGTTTGGAATTTCTTCTATTCTTTTGAGGTATTCTCCGTTATCTGTAAGAGCTTCGGAGGATACCGGCGAAGTCGTCCATACATCTTCTTTGGTATTGAATTCTTTAAAGAACGTTTTCTTCGGTCTAGAAGTTTCTTTTACGTACTTTTCTACTTCAGTAGATCTTTCCGTTGCAGGGAGGGAAAGAGTTTGACTGGCCCAGTCAATGGATGGGTTCATCGCTCTGAGCCAGGGGATTCCTAAGAGGATTTGATCTTTAGTTCCTAACTTTGTGATGTTGAACTTTCCGATCATCATTCGTTCATCGATTTTGATGATGAGCGTACAGTATCGCTCTACTGGTCCGCTACTAAAGTAGCTTCCATCTGCGGTCCTGATAAAGAACAGTTTTTCTAGTTTCTTGGTTCGGATCTTGTGCTTCTTTACAAAGTCTTTGGAGATATAGGTTCCGGCTGCTCCGGAATCAATTACTGCATTGGTTTCGACATTTTCTGGACGTGTTCGCGAGACAAGGGTGATTGGGACACGAAGTTCTTTTCTTTCACCTATTGCTTGTATTACATGAATTGGTTCTTCTGGAGATACTACCATTGATGTAGACCTCCTCTTCAAAAATCTTTGTTGACTCGTCTTGCTTCTTCCTCCTTTTCTTCCACTTGTCGAATGGGTGGGGAGGGTCTGTTCTTTTTCTGAGGACATTCCCTAGTGCGATGCCCAATTTGATGGCAGTTAAAAAATTTTCCAATTCGCATGTGCTCCTGCTTTTCGGCTTCGGTAAGCCTACCGATTCTGTCAATTACCATAGCGTTGTAGAAGAGGAATGGGAAGTGGGTGAATATAGGTAGTATGAGATAACTCAAGTAGTCCTCGGTGAGCGAGATATACGTCGGCCCAAGGGGATTGCTACTGAGAAGGTTCCTCTAGGTGTATAAAACGGAGGGAAACACTGAACCGGGCGCTTGGTCAAGCCTGGTTAGGCGTGCGACGATGAGCGATAGCGGCCAATGATAGACGCGTGACTTATAACGGAAGCGCGCGCTTTAAGCGGAAGCGGTGCGCGTGCGGGTGGTGGAGCACAGTGACTCTCAATGAGTCAGAATACTAATGGACAGAGTTTCTAGTAGTGTACGGCGGCAGCGCTCATATTGTACTTAGATACTTTTGAGTTTTTTAGAGGTTAACTTAGACTTATAGTCCAACGATGTGTGGGCAGAAAAAGATCCCTATTACACGATTTATATGCGTCTATATATACTAAGTAATGATAAGCGCTGTCAAGTGTTAAAGCGAACTGAGAAGCGAAGCGGATGCGAGATAATATGTAATAAAGGGTCCATAACGGAAAACATATGAAATATGGCCATAAGCGCCGGAGATATGTTAGAATCAATGAAAATAGAATCGGAATACGCACCGACGAACTGAACGGACATGGAATGGATGGACGGAGGACGTGCGACGGAACTGAGGATGCGCGACTAAGGAGCGACCGGAGCGCTGGCGCTTGCGAGCGGCCGACAATGCGCTTGGGCGCGCTGTGTGAGATATGAGTCGTGCTATGTTGGGAAGTGATAGTAACAATGGGATTTTAGATCCCTGCAAGGCCACAGAGATATTAGTCTCTACAGTGTCTCTGTCTCTAGCGGGGACAAATCGCTGATCTCCAAATCTTCTTTTCTTTTGGGGAAAAAGAACTTGCCCTAATAGATTGGAGCCGCATATAGCAGTTATCCATATCTACGACTGCAGTGATATAGTTGTCTAGGTTCTTCGGAACTCCTCCAGCATTGAATATCTTGGTGAGGAGTCCGGTGTTCAGCCCATTCTGGAAATGGAATATTTTCATGTGTTCTTCTTTGATTTTTGCTTGGGCGAGGAGTCTTTGGAAGTCTGTGATGTAGCTTTGCAGTTCTCCGTTGCCTTGTTTGAGGTGAATGATTCTTGCTAAGGCAGTTCCGGAAGGGTCAATAGCTCCAAAAGCTTTGTCGAATACTTCCATAAATTCTTTCATCGTTCCATATCCTTTCTTTTGTCCAGAGGAGTTGACGTGTTGGGCGTCCATCAGGAATTCTTCTTTCCATAGCAGAGCATTTCCTTTATTCATAAACGAGGTGATAAAGATGATGTTTTCTTGTCGGTTTTGTATAATTCCTCGTTAATGTCCATGTATGCATTGCAGGATAGGATAAAAGATTTAGACTTCTCTCGATCTCCATCAAAGATGGGTGGATGATTAATCTTGTATTCGAATAGTTTCGATGAAGACGACATGTTCAGTGATGGTACGGGAGTACTGAGATTAAGGGCTTGGAAGGTAGGAGTGAGTGAAGTCAGTTTGTTGTTTCTTCTTTGCCTGCGCTAGCTATCTTGCTCAGCCAGGGCTTGTCTGTTCTTCTGTTTCTTTTCTTCGGAACACGTGTGGATACAGGTGTCCTTTTGAAAGACTTGAATCTTTTGTTACGAACTAGGGTTGTTCTAACAACACCGACTCAACAGAGTTTCAAGCTGTTGAGTTTTGTGAAGTCCTTCAGAAAAGAAGGGGTTCTGTAAAGACTTAGTCAAAGGAGTGCTTCGACTAAGAATGCTAGTTCAGACAAATTAAGATTGGAGGTCTTAAGTGAACGAAGTTCTGGTAAAACCTAGTAAGATTCAAGTGAAGTTCTACAAAGCTAATACACGTGCTTAAATAAGTCAATATGTGCGCACGGACCAAGGTAGTTGTGAGATATAAGTACATAGTCCAAGAAAGGTAAGTGATCATAAATGGAAAGCGTACTATTGAACAAAGAGAACAGAGAAGCGAAAGATAAGTGTGATTGTAACACTTTCCCACCACAACGAATCTTGAGGCGGCTGCACAGCGCACAAACCTTCAAGGTCCGGCCGTTATTCTTGTTGATGCCCTGATGGCAGATGAGATCGTGGGCCACACATTGGCCACAGCAAGGAGCCCATGTGGGCGCCGAAGTATCGGCGAACTCATCTTCCATCAAGACGGCACCTGAAAAGTTGGTGGTAATCTGTGCCGATGGTGAGTGAGATAAGGCAACAATGAAAAAAATACGACTCACTTTCTTGACAATCACTGTCGGCTTGATCTGGATGGTGGGTTCTTCATTGGCATCCATCTCTTCCTTGCTGGTGACTTCTACATATTGGCCTGATTTTCGGGCCGGTGGGTCTACAACTGTTGGCTAAAGGTACCATCAATTGAGGCTCATGTCAGAAAAGGTAAAAACTTACTTTATTAGGCGGTGGCGCCAACTCATCCTCATCAAGCTCATCATCAATGGTGATGGTGGCCCTGGACTTGCCGTGCTGCTTCTTGGAGATCACCGGGTGGCTTTGGCTATGGGCACTTGAGGCCCGGGGACACTTGCCACGCTGAGTGCCTTGCCCCCATTCTTTGGCAGGCAAGGAAGGAGGTTGTGAAGGGCCGGCTTCGGGAGACGGCGACCAAGATTCTCCTCGGTAATGGATGGTGGCAGGGAAGAGGGGGTGGCCTTGAATGCAGCGATCATCCCCTCGGATCTGCGACCACACAGGTGGGGTGCTGATCCCGGTGTTGTCGCCGTCGAGGTGCTCCTGTAGTTTGGCAGCAGCCGACAAAATCAAAGATGACAATACTGTCACCCAAGAGCCGTGGGTCATAACTACTTCAGTCTAAAGAGCAATCAGACATGCCACAAATCACAAGAGAAACTGACTTACTATGGCCTGCCCCATCGTGGTGGCAAGTGAGAGATGCTTGGCATCAGCCGGCTGCAACTGGCAGGCTTGCCCAAGGATATGTTCGATCTTGTCAGAAAGATCGCGGTGTAGAGACTCATGCCTCTCATGGCATGATATGGCAGTTTCCACCAAAAAGTACATAGCACGAACTTGTAGTGTCACTCTGTGCGCTACCCGCAGCTATCCCTATATGAGGTGCAGCTTTCCCGCGCAATACGCGCCATGTGCGCACACTTCCTGCGCTTCGCGATGTATATGCGTGCGCGCGTTCCCGCACTTGAGCGCCCTATAGCGCTAGCCATCCAGATGCATCCATCCACTGTATCCATCCACTGTCCTCCAAGTTCTCTAGTGCATATATTTCTGTTTCTCTCATTTGTATATTGTTCCACCTTATTTTTATCATGGACCCTTACTTATATATATCTCTACATACCTACTCGGTAGCGCTTTGGCTCCGCATGACAGCGCTTAGGCGCTATATAAGCACCAGCAGTACATACCATTACTCACTTTTCACTTGACTTTGGACTTTCTAGCTTACCTTACTACCCAACTTTGCACCCACTATCAACCTAGTAGAACATAGTAGAAATCTATTTGTCTACACTTCGCATCTCTCTTTCCTTGTCATTACATCATATCATCACTTAAGCAAGCTTATACTTAGTCTTTATTGTTTCTGCATACATGTGTGCGCTTTCCCGCGCTAATATGTGTGCGTGTTCCCGCGCCTTGCGCGCACCTGCGCTTTCTCGCACTTCACTTCAGCACATACCTCTAGATCTTCGCTGTACTCGCTTCCCCTTTAGGGTTGAACACACTTGCTGTCTCAAGTATAGCAGACTAGGCAACGCGCGACCTACAACATTTACAGATACAACCAGGAGCCTTGTTCACACCTCGCAGTATTGTTGTTTCTACAGTGCGCAGGTGCATGTGAGGCATGAAGGCATGGGAAGGCGTGGGAAAGTGTGCATGTTGTAGAGACTCATGCCTCTCATGGTGTGATATGGCACTTTTCACTAGGGAGTACATAGCATGAACTTGCAGCACCACTCTGTGTGCTATCCACAGTTATTCCTATATGAGGCGCAGCTTTCTTGCGCACCATTCCCACGCTTCGCGATGTATACGCGCGCGTGCATTCCCACGCTTGAGCGCCCTATAGCGCCAGCCATCCAGAAGCATCCATCCACTGTCCACCAAGCCCTTCAGTGCATATATTTCTATTTCTCTCATTTGCATATTGTTCCGTCTTTATTTTTATCATGGACTCTCACTCATATATATCTTTACATACCTACTCGGTAGTGCTTCAGCTCCACATGACCGCGCTTAGGCGTGCTATATAAGCGCCAGCAGTACATACTATTACTTACTTACTTTTCCTACCTTTCACTTACCTTTTCACCCAACTTTACTTACATACTTAATACCTAGAAAGTCGCAGTAGAAATCTATTCATTAACACATTGCATCTCACATTTCTTATCTTGCTTTATATCATCACTTAAGCTTAGTCTCTCATTTCCACATACACACATGTACTTTGCCACGCTTCGCGCATTCGTGCACCTTGCGCGCACCTGCGCTTTCTCACGCTTCGCTTCAGCGCGTACCTCTAGATCTTCGCTCCACTCGCTTCCCCTTTAGGGTTGAACGCACTTGTCTCCTCAAGTAACGCAGACTGGGCAAGGCGCGACCTTACAACTATTTACAGATACAGTCAGGAGCATCATGTGTTCCTCTCAGTATTGTTGTTTCTACAACGTGTATGTGGAAATGAGAGAGTGTAAGAATAAGTTGCTTAAGTGATGATTAGATACTAGACAAGAGATGAGAGATGCGAGGTGTAAACAAATAGATTTCTACTATGTTCTGGTAGGTAGATAGTGGGTGGAAAGTTAAGTGAAGTAAGGTAAGGTGTCCCATAGTATGTACTGCTGGTGCTTAAGTATGGCGCCTAAGCGCTGTCATGCAGAGCCGAAGTGCTTCCGAGTAAGGTATATAAAGATATCTATAAGTAAGGGTCCATGATAAAAATAAAGGTGGAACAATATGCAAATGAGAGAGATGGAAATATATGCACTAGAGAACTTGGTGGACAGTGGATGGATGTGTTCTGGATGGCTGGTGCTATAGGGTGTTCAAACGCGGGAAAGCGCGTGTGCATATACATCACAAAGTGTGGGAAGTGTGCGCGCATTGCGCGGGAAAGCTGCGCCTCATATAGAGATAGCTGTGGGTAGTACACAGAGTGATGCTACAAGTTCGTGCTGTATATTCCTTGGTGAAAACTGCCATATCACACCATAAGAGGCATGAGTCTCTACAGTACCTCCCCCAAAATTGCCTATTGTCCATCCTCTCGCCATTCCTACTATTCGCCTGACTCTCGCAATTCTGATTCTTCTTCAACTCCTCCAGGCTTATCATCCCCCTGGCCTGATGCCGGACATCCACACTTTTCATGCTCTCCATCACAATCACACCTTGTCAAGGAGGAGGAAGAAGGAGAAAAGGAGGAGGAGAGCTTACCCATAGTGATACACTTTGTGAGTTGCAATCGCTAATGTGTTGCTTTCAAGTTGTCACTCATATCTGCTATCTGCAGGAACGAGACTCAGCTGGATCCTATTACTTGTTTGATCAACCAGAAGAAGAAGATAACTCCCACCTCGCGCTTGAGGCAGCCCAGGCCAAATGTAAAGTTTGTCAAGCTCAAAAACACCTGGCTGACTGCCTTTTGGAACAACATCAAATACTTTTCCATATCTGCCGCCATTGGGCAGAAGCTGCGAACAAGCGTCTATTATTGGCTGACCTTAATGTCGGATGCATGCACTCAGAGCGCCGGAGGAAAAGCGGCATCACAATGTTTACTACCATTCGAGCGTGACACTGAGTACTAGTAAGTGCATTTTGCTCTCATACTAGTGTTATTAATCAATTTATTAGATCTAAATAGTTTGTTCTCTCACTGCGCATATGTATATAAATTTGTTGCTAGTATAGTATACTAGTATTATATTTCACATGTGCTACAGTTTGTGTTTCTTGTACTGTTTGTGCGCTTGTGCGACTTGTTTGCTTTTATTCAAATTTATAGTCATTTGTTTGTGTTGTCTGTGAGACCTGTGACGTCCTGTGGGGAATTGTACAGAGTTGTCACAAGTGTGGGAATTGTCACGAAATCAATAGTTTGCTGATGTATTCTATGTGTACGCACCATATCCATTCCCTTGGTTCCAATCACACTTATTTGAGAGACAGGATGCCCCCTGATCAAGGTCTTGCCAATAAGAAGTCTTCAGGGGTCAAAGGTAGAAAGGTTAGACTGACCTATGTCCTCACATCAAATGCGAATGGATCTGAGAAACTGCCACCCCTTATTATTGGGAAAGCAAAGAAGCCTCGAGCCTTTCGAAACAAAATGGGTGCACAGCTTGGCTTCTATTACCAGAATAACACAAAGGCTTGGATGATGATGGCACTATATCAGGAATGGATTCAGCAATGGGATCATGATTTGGGAGTAAAAAACCACAAGATTCTCCTTCTACAAGACAACTTCTCTGATTATATTATCCCTCATGGTCTTCAGAACATCCAGGTTGAGAATTTTCAACCAAATCTCATAGTGCATGTCCAGCCAATGAATCAGGGTATAATTCGATGCTTCAAGGCTCATTATTGTGCAAGATACATTTGACACACAATTGACATTTATGACGGAGGTGTCACTGCCTCTGAAATCTATGACATCAACCAACTACAAGCTATGTGACTTGCTGACATTGCTTGGCGTGATGTGGACACCACAACTATCAGACACTGCTGGCGTAAAACAGGTATCCTGCCTACTACAAACTCTCTCAGTGTACTAGCTCAGCCCATAATTCCAATCTGATCACTCTGTAACATCGATGTTACTGATCCGAATCAAGATCCTGTTGCAAATACAGAGAATGAAGTCAGAAATGCTCTCAATGATCTGCAGGCAACTGGTGTGCTTCGGCCAAGGAACAGGATGGACATTGAGGCCTTACTCAACCTACCTGAGGAGTTGCAGATAATGGAGGAGCCAAGAGACGAAGAAATTGGTCAGGCTGTGTTAGCAGTGAGAAATACTCAGGAGGAAGGGCCCATCAATGGTGGGGATGATGATGTTGAGGATGATTCACCACTTGAACCCTATCCAACACATCACAAGGTGTTTCAGTCAGCATCCATCATCAACAGGTATATTGAGCATCTTGACAATCTCCTTGCATGCAAGTTTGAAGCAATTTTAGCCTCTTTCAGACATCAAATATATTCAGAGGAATCCAGGTCAATGTCTTCCACTCATCTCACTGATTATTTCACTCATATATGATGAAGGACGAGTACACAGATCTCTTCACACTCATCCACTAGCCAGGCCTCAAAAAGATTCAAGGCTGCCATTCATAGCCACTTTCAGTTCATTTTTCTCACACTCTTCCACCAGCCAGGCCTCGAAACAATTTGAGACTTTGAGGCTGCCAATCATAGCCACTTTCAGTCCTTTTTTTCTCACACTCGTCCACCAGCCAGGCCTCAAAGATTCGAGACTTCAAGGCTGTCAATTGTAGCTACTTTCAGCTGTTCAGTTAATTTTGTTCGCTCTTGGACTCCACTTGATTAGAATTGGTGTTTTCCTGATGTTCATACTATATCCCAAATGCACAGTACAAATTTTTTCAGACTTTTAATTGCATTTTTCAATCTATTTTTAATGACATTCTCAAAACCCATACTCTCTCATAACCCATAGCCTGGAGCCATGACCAAGGAGTATGGAATAAGAGGGCTTCAACTGTATTATTAAATATGAGATCCTATGCATGATTTAGTGGGGACAAGCATGGTTCACGTGTCCAATCATTCATTATGAGGTAGTATACTGTACTTATAATGTAGGCCATTTTACCAATGAGTGAAAAATGATTACTAAAAAAGCCAAAACAAAGTTGGAAAAAGTCAAAGTCAAAAGGAGGCACTTACTTTTTGGATGTATAACTGCCTTGTGGCAAGTTGACAGCAAGTTGCAAAAAGGAGGTTCAAGAAATGTGTGAATTTATTGGTGTTCTTTAGGCAAATTGTGTGGGTAGTTG